AAATGCACACCAATTTAAAAGCATTATAATATTAATTACATACGAAAAAGTATCAAATATGTTGTTGTACAGAAGTTCCTTTCTAAGCAAGAATTTGTCAAACAAGATATTATTTAAACATGAATGCATGTATATTTCTAAGAAACCTTGAAGTAATGCTTAACACTACATAGTTGTAAATATTGTACAGGCTAATAATAATTTAAGTATGTATGAGAGCTTATTATTTGACTTAACATTTATGTACTCTTGTTGATTTGACCATTATGTAAGGAGAAGAAAACGGAAGAAAGTGAGTAACGAGTGACAGTGGGGGGTGTTAGTGGAACACAAGGTGACATTAAGAATCAGCTTGCCATTAGTGTTAATCATGTGATAATCTGTGCTTTTTGTTTGTTACATTTGGTTATATTGTTAGTTTTGTTGACTTCTCAATCATTATGAGCAGTAAGGCTTTTTTTCTTTTGTTGCTTTGAATCTTTTTTAAACCAGTTGTGTAGCCATTGTTCAGTGTAATTTTTTTAAACATTCAAAAGGTTTTTTTTTCACTGTTGAAATTAAACATTGAGAAAGTGAATAAAGAATGTTAATAATCTCTAAGAAGAAATGAATAAACTGGGTCCTTTGTACCTGAGAAATGGTGAACAAGTGTCCTTACTTACTGGAGTACTGCCATTTAAATTTTATGCACAATTGCTTCTCTCTCTCTCTCTCACATTCCTTAAAACTGTGAAACATTTTCATCTTCTGCACTTCGTCCAGTTTTGGCCTATTAGGAAATCATGATTGATAATTTGTGGCAGGTGGGGCCAGAACCAACAAAAGTGATGCATTCTTCAAAACACCTCCCTCTATATGAATATATACGGGGCAAACTGTTGACTTTTCTTCATAAGGTTCAAGTGCAATATAAGATGAAGAACAGCAGTAAGCAAGCTCCAAATCCATAGAAAACATACAAATAGGAGCAATATGGACCCCTAAAACATCATTAGATTGGATCAGGTGCCATGGAGGAGTAAGCATCCGCTTTTGACCTGTCCCACCTGCGGAGTGCTTCTCATGACAAATGGGGAAATGCATAGACAATGTAATGTGAATATCATGACTTTACAATTTCATTTTTTGTTTGAAAAATGTAAGTTAACATTGAACTTAACAATAGATTGTATTTCCTAACAAGGTCATTGAATCAGCCATAGAAATTGCGCAGTGTTTAGAATTTTTGTTGATATCCTTAGGTCTTCAACTTATTTGTCAGTAACTTGACATGTTTTGAAAATTGTTCATGCATAGAGCATGGTTTTGTGTATTGATCAAGTGGTAGACATAAACCTTTTATGTAGGTGATAATGGTATATTGCTACATAAAAAGGGAAAGAGACAAGAGAAATGTTGTAGTCACCATGTTTTATCACCAAATTTTAAGTTTTTAAAAGTGGGTCAAAATTCAAGAGATTGTCAAGGATCAAAATGACTGATATATCATAAAGCCTTGCAATGCAAAGATTAATGCAATACATTACTGCAATAATAGTTGACGTTCTTAACTGCTTTATTTTTTAATTCTTTCATGAAGCGTTGATTTAGCATTAGCAGTTTGGAATGTCAACTATTAATGCAATAATCTTTGGCATTTAGCGTTGAATTGCAACGCTTAATGGTATTTCTATGATTAAGGGACTTCCTTTATCCATTTGATCTTGGGAGTTTAACCTTCTTTTTCTCCTTGGCAATAAGAGTTGGTGCTAAGGCTTTTATATTTCACGTGTGTATTTCTTGTGACGGGACCTTTCCCTGGATATTAGTCATTTTGATCCTTTGACAGTCTGTTGGATTTTGACCCACTTAGCGGCGTTATATCATTAGCGGTTGCTATATATCATTAGCGGTTGCTACAAGGCCCTGTCACAAAGAATACGCCTGTGAAAATGAGAGCCCTAGCACTAAATGTTGAAGAGTTATTGTCAACGTAAAGGTTTTTTAAAAGTGGGTCAATTTCTAAGGTCAAGGCCAAAATGTCAACAACAACAAATATACCTGAGGACAGTCCTTATCACATTGAATATACATATGCAAAGTATGAAAGTCCTAACACCAACACTTGAAAAGTTATTGCTCAAGGTTCAGGTTTGGTAAATGTTTGCAAAATGGGTCAAACTCCAATGTCAAGACGTCAAATATGTTTATACATGGAGAATTTGGTCTCGTCTTAAGGAATGCAAAAGTGAAATATGAAAGCCATAGCTTTAAATAATCAAAGGCTAGGGAGAAGGATAAAGCTTTTTCGTATACAGACAAACGACAAACGGGCAGGGCAAAAACTATATACCCCCGAATCTTCGAAAACAGGGGTCATAAAAACCGCAAAATATCCTACATTCAGAGTGTTTCCTTTCCAAACTTTTGAAAAAAAACTTTATTCTTAATATTATAGAAAGAATGACAGTGTCCACGTATTGCTATCCGAAATATGTGTCGGACAAAGAGGTGATAATGGCACTGTGTAACAAAGATTTTAAAATCTCATTAAATTTTATCCTGCGGTATAAGAGGAGTTGCGAAGAAGAGATGGGAGCCCCGAAGCGTAATGGACGGACAGACAGATGGACACCTCATCACTACCTTCTCCCTGCTTTTTTTAAGCGGGGGAGTATCTATTAATTTACTCATATCTTCTACTTGAAATAAGTAATTCACAGTTACATTATCTAAAAATTTACTTACAGATTCAGCTTAATAATTTAATTTATTCACAATAACAATCTATGATAATTAATTCACAACCTCAATATAAAATAATTTATTCACAATAACAATCTATGATAATTAATTCACAGCTTCACTATAAAATAATTCATTCACAATAACAATTTATGATAATTAATTCACAGCTTAAGGTAGTCCGATCCTCAGGTTTATAAAATTAGCAGTTAAGTAATCAAAAATACTCCTAAAAGCTGTAGAATATCCATTTTGTCAAATCGTTTTCTTTTGCTTGCAAGTCAGGACTGAAATTTATATTCTGGCAAAGAATAAGGATATTTATATCAAATCGGACAAGACATTGAGGTAATAAAAAATGTTTGATGCAGCAATTACGTAATGCCATCTTTTGAAGTTATACAAACAGGTCACAGATATCAAAAAGCCACTTATTATATGATTATGCTTGAATAATAAAACAGATGAGTTATACTTTAAGTTATATTAAACGGCATGGCAAATCCTCATGTATTTGAATTAATTGATTAAGATAGTTAAATAACATCAAAAGGATTAATTATCTCCGGCATCTATTAAGAATTTAGCATCTGTTTCAATTAGTGATAAAGGGATTCTGGTGTTCATTATTTTATATAACAATTAACGAATATTCATCGTCAAAAGAATAGGGATGAGATAAAATGTTCTTTTAAATTCTTTCTTTTGGTAAAAGGTTTTTAATGAATTCCAATAATAATGAGTAAAGATAAAAAAAAAGAAAAGATATGGGCATAGACTTGTTCAAAAAAGTAAGGAAAATTTAGCTTTTGAGTTTAAATTAACTCTAAGATTTCGTCAAGTTTGTCTTTCTGATCATCATAGAAGTTTTTTGTAGCGCTATATATCCTCTTGTCCAGCGATACCAATATGGCGATTTAGAATCATTCACTGCAGACTGTGCATAGTTCCCGTTCAGGTTTGAGTTGGTACATGAATTGTACCACCAGGCTCCATTATGTGATTTAGCACAGCTGTTACTAGAACGATCATTATCCTGATCCTTTGTGCTGAATTCCATGCTGTTGTGATGAGCCAAACTGTCACCTAGTACAAGAAAAATAAAAATATAACTAACCTCAAATATAATATTTGCCTGAAGAGTAAAGAGTAAATACCAACAGAGCTAATTTATAGTCGCAGTAGCTTAGTCTCTAGAGCGCTTGTCTCGTGATCGGAGAAACGAGGGATCGAATTTCGGTCCCGACTGACCTAAGGTGACCAAAATAGCTAGGAAACAGCTGTTCTTTTTCCAAGCGCCAGACACATTTAAGTGAAAGTTACGTTCCCTTCGAATGAGACCTTAAAGCTGACATGAATTCTTAAAAACGCAACATTTGCATCTATGTACGACTTGTTTCATACCAACTATAGCCGTACTCCGCCATATTTCTTTCAGATACCTTGTCTCATTGTAACGATATATACCCCAATGCACTCGTTACACTTGAATGATTTTTTGGATTGGGTATCGACTTGTGCACATCTCCGATGGTAAAGCATATGAGAACACATGAGGTGATCAAGACATTTCAAAACCAAAATAAACAACATAATAATCATATTTTTGAATGATTATTGATTTGAATCGAAAAAAAATGCAAGTTTGGAAGAGAAATTTAGATGCATGAGTACGTATTTTTACAGTGCGCCAATTTATGCAGAATAAACTTGAAATAAAAAGCAGTAAAATTTGCAAACACATTTTGAAATTATATCATTTGAATGGAACAAAACAACCAACGTCTTTGATTTGCAGGTCGTATGCAATTGATGCATATCGAGAAAACGCCTCGAACGCTGTAAACGTACCCATACCTGGTAATAAGGTTACTGCATCGGTTCGAAGATGTGCACAAGTCAAGTGATATACACCCTGATTTCCATTTATTGAAATATGCATCACAAAAAAGAAATAAACTCCATAAAAGCTCAATAGTAAACACACTGTCATTACTCCGTACACATTAGCACGTCGATACACTTAGTCCGTGCTGATCAGATTTTGGTCAGGGAAAATATCACAAGTGGAAAGAGAAGTTATTTGGTATTTGCGCGGCTGAAGGGGGGGGGGGGGGGTATTATAACTGATGTTCATAAGCTATAATTGTGAATTGTTTATCTACATGTAGTTCTAATATACATTCTATACAAAGTCATGTATATAGTCTGCAGTTGGTTTGCGTCGCAAAATTCATTTGTCAATTATAACTGATTATTTTAGTACTAATCTCAAATCTAACCCAAGTAATTTGATGTACGGCAAATAATTTACTTCAAATCTTAAAAGCAATTAACCATGCAGAATACAAATTTTTATGTTTACATCTATACATTCTTTAACACATAAACACACGGAGAAAGGCCATCCCCTGTTCAGATTGACATTTAGGCATTTGATTTTTTGGACCGAGGGGGGGGGGGGGCATACAAAAATAATTGACATGACCGTTATTTAAATATTCTTGGAAGACAGACATTTCTGCCGAATTCAGTTTTGAGATTTTTAAAAATGTGTCACTCCGACCACAAAGTATGTGCATTTTGAGGAATGTAACGGTTTTATAATTATGTTGTTACAGCTAGGAAGTATTTCGAGATTTCAGTATCCCTGCCTGATAGTCTAGGTATTTTTTTTTTATATTTAAATAAATAATTTCTGTAGGTGTATTTGGGAGATAATTTCAAAAGCTAGGGTAGGGATACTTGACACTGGTTGAATACGGATAATTATTATTTATTCTTTTGTATATTGAACTCTCTCTCTCTCTCTCTCTCTCTCTGCCTGTAACCACCCGTTGGTGCAATGGTAGGTATAAAATCCTACGCACTTTGTGCTGTACCATTTATTAAGCCTTAGGACAGATCAAGGATTTTTTTCAGGTGGGATGTCGAAACTTCATAAATTGAATAATAATTTTACTTTGGACAGGAAATTAACCCAAACGCCCAAATTGAAAGAGAAACTAGAGTACATGTATTATGGGCAATGAGCTCACTAAATGATACCCCTGCCTCCCATATGGTTATAATGGCAAAGGCCATATTTCGCTAAACCCATACGTGTCAGATCAAAAAGTAAAATAGGAGGTGCATACTGGTAATATGCAATAAACTTAAGATTCTTTGAAAGTTTCATTAAATTTCTCTAAGTGGTATAAGAGGATTTGCGGATAAGAGATGGGTACCCCAAAGCGTAACAGACAGACGGACGGACATAACGATTACTATATAACCTCCCACTTTTCAGGCGGGGGATATATACATTCGACACAGGAATGGGAACATTGGGAACTTTCTCTGAATACCTTCTCAAACGTATGTGTTGAACTTGGACAACATACAAGAGAATTTTTAAAAAGCTAGTTTTAGGTAGAATGTGGAATTCTCACGAGGAGTTTACTCTCTCTTCCTATATGCTTTTTCTAATAATCATTAATTATTTATGTCTAGAAATTTAATTCACATTAAATTCTTTTTTCATTGTCACTGTACCACAGAATCAAACTCGTTTATTATACCCCACGCGTGAGGTATAATGTTTTTGACCAGTCAGTCAGTTTTTTTTTTTTTGGTCAGCGCAACTTCTCATAAACCACTGTACAGAGTTTTGTCGAACTTTGCAGATATTTACAGGAGACAATGTGTGTGTAGATTTGCACATCACCAGGAAATTCCGAATTCTTTATTTTTTCGGGAATTTCCGCACTTTTACATTTAGATTTTGGCCATATCTGGAATATAGAGGTGAGCAGTTTGTCAGCGCAACTCCTCATAAACCGCTGCACACAATTTCGTCAAACTTTGCAGATATTTAAGACACTATGTGTATAGATGTGCATATTACAAGGAAATTACGATTCCTTTATTTTTTTCTGGGAATTTCAGCACTTCGACTTTTGGGGGGAGCGTGGGGTATGTGAACTTGCTCACTTTTTCTTTCACAGTGCATAAAATTATAAATAACTTTAAATCAAATCATATTAGGTCTAATAAAGCCAATACACAGTATTTATTTGATAATACATTTTGTAATTGATCATAAAGAAATCCAATCTGTTTCAGACGTTTTTCTTACATTATTTTTATGAGAGTGTTATGCATATTTTATTACACCCCCCCCCCCTCATATCACGGGAAAATATCTTCAAAAGGTGAATGATTCGTAACAATGCCTGCTTTTTTATGAATTTGATGAAGTTAAACCATGTACTTAATCGTAAATTTTATTTACAACATGTACAGACAAGAGTAATGTTTATTTTTGAAAAAATTACTTGCATTTTTTTTTTCAATCAACCCCACTGAGCTTTCAAACTTTGATATTTTCCCTGACCAAATAAAATGATCGGCATGGGCCACGTGTGTCCAAGCATCTTTTACTGTTGAGTTAGCAATGGATTACATGACTTCTGAGATGCATTTTTCAATAAAAGTAAAATAGGATAATTCTTTCGACATGTGCACATCCCTGTAACGATAGCAGTAGTCATGTAAATGTTTTTATCACTGCGTTTGACGCGTTTTCTCGATCTGCATGGGTGTTTGGTATGTATACATGTATGTATTCCGTGTTAGTTTATTTTCTATATTGCAGCAAATGCATTCAAAAATAATTTAATTCTCGGTATAGTTCTATTTTTTGTTGAATTTTTACTTTTCAAACATGTATTTGGTCAGTTTATGACTTCTAAAAACTTTGTTATCGGAGATGTGTACATGTCGACAGTCAGGCTAGAAAATCACTCAAGTGAAGCAATCGTACAAGGCTATATATAGCAGGTACAGGTGACCAAAATTTTTCAATTAAATATGGCGGAATCGAAGAAATATGGAGGACAAGGTGTACAGGAATGTAGTAAGTCGTACAAAGATGAAAAATGATGGCTTTTTAAGAGTTCATGTCAGCTTTAAACACTGGGTCCCGATGTCATAAGAAGTTGATGTTTACGTTCGAATTTCACGGCGAGTCGTGAATCCCGGTGCTTTGGGTGGAACCATAAAAATCGAGGTCCTGTGTAGAAGTAGGTGTTTGGATGAAAAAAATAAGAAAACTTTTACTGCTCAAAGGCCCTAAACCCCGAGTAAAATTTAAAAATTGTATACTTGCAGAATTGTAGAAGGGTAAGTGGGGGCGTCTACACATGAGGGGAACATTACTTAAAAGAGACTTAAACATGTTAAACGAACAAACCAACAAACAAACAAATCCTGCTTATTGATACCTTAAACAGTAATTCAAAACTGCGAGATAATACAGGACACGTATTACAATATATAGTCGCCCTGCACTAAATATAACGGCATTTCTAGCAAAACTTTTCTCATAGTGTCGCTCATATAGAGTAATTATATGAATAATATAGCTTAAAACATTTTTGTCTATCGCAAAATATGCAGCATACATAGTACCTAAGACTTTCCAAACTTTAGAGATGGTAGTTTTAATAACATAAGAAAAAATACATTTACATTAAGGTTTGTGCATAGAGAATAAATGATTTGCGACTATAAATATCTGCGAGTTTGAGCTGGTGAATTTAAGAGTTCCACTTTTATTGTGGACACGTTTCTATTTCCAGATTTTTCTTCAATACTATATATATGAGAGTTTTTGTGATCTTAATTATTATTGAGTTGATTGAGTTTACATTGCGTTTAGATCGAAGAAATATTGATTACATATCAGAAACCATCTGATCATCTTAGCCAATGTTGTATTGTGATTGTTAACCCTTGTGGATTTGTTTTGCTTTTAATCGCCGTAATAAATTATAAAAAAGAAGATTTCCGTGTGATTGTGATTTGCCACATTGTTTGGTGCAGGAACCCGGGATTTGGAACCTGAAATCAAGAAATTATCACGGAAAAGAAGATGTCAACCTCAAACTTGAAAAGACTCTGTACAAGGTACAAGAATCTACTGCTGAATGAAATGTTTAAAAGTAAGACATTTCTTTCTTCAAAAGCTGAAGAAGAGGATATGACAACCAGGATAAGGCGGATTCAATCTTCCTTGAGACGGTTAAACGACTTTGGTGCTAAATCAGAAGAATCGATGAAAGAACTTTCCATTGCCTTAGATGCAAAAGAAGACAATGTGTCTGAAATTGAAAAATTTACGGAAGACAGCGAGAAGTTGTTTGAATTGCTCACAGATGTTACAGAGCGCTCAGAAGATCTTCTACTATTGGAAAAAAGATTGGAACAAGCAGACATTCCATATATGAAGACTGAGGCACCAAATGACCCACGAATAGACCACATGATAGATCTGCAGACAAAAATGCAGAACAACTGATGCATTTCCAAGAACTCCAAATTCAGGAACTGCATAGAAAAGAGAAGATTTGCAAAGAGAAAGAGACTCCAGTAATTAAACTACCAAAGTTTGAGCTACCTTCATTCAATGGAGACAAGTTAAAGTGGAAAGAATTCTGGGACTCTTTTGAAGCTTCCGTACACAAAAACACAAGACTTTCCAATATTGAGAAGTTCAACTACTTGAAAAGTAAAATGGAAGGAATGGCACAAATTGCTATTTCCGGCCTTATGCTCTCCCATGAAAATTATGATGTAGCTCTCTCCATATTGAAGGAAAGATTCGGATATGTGCAGTCTGTAATCAACAAACATTACGTGGACCTTATAAACATTAAGCCTGCACTCAATAGTACTTCCAGTCTCCGTAGACTATTTGATGATTTAGAAAAGCATATGCGCAGCCTAGAAGCATTGGAACAGGATGTAAACCAGGATGTCCTTGTTTCCATGATTATAACGAAGTTACCAAAAGAAGCCAGATTACAATTAGAAATACAGAAAGGAAAGAAAGAAAAGTAGACTGTGTCAGTTGAAGACAGAAAACTGAAGATTCAGGGAAGATGCTATATTTGTCTTAAGCCAGGTCATCTTAGCAAAGACTGCAAAGTTGACAAACCATGCTTTCATTGCCATCAGACAAAGAAACATCACCGAAGTCTCTGCAACAAGAAAAGGCTGCCTTTGAGAGAAACCTCACACTTTGCTGAATCATCCGAACTATATGACTCAGAAACAGTTAACAATGTTCGAGAAAACAGCCTACTGTCATCAGGAAGTATGGTCCTAATGCAAACTGCAAAAATTGATGCGTCAGATCTGAATGGATCAAGAATTGAAACAATCAGAATTCTCATGGACTCTGGGTCTCAAAGAATGCATGTTACCGAGGAATTAGCTTCAAGATTGAATTTGAAGAGGAAAAGAACAGAGGAAATATCACTTGTCACCTCTGGATACACGAAACCAAAGATAGTAAGAACTCCAAATGTATCTTTAAGAATTAAACTGAAGGATGGACAATGCATGAGAATTGAAGCAAATGTTGTGCCTCAAATAACCGGACCAATACACAGAAGACCGTTTCCACCTAACATCATTGAAATGGTACAGTGCCAAAGGAAACAGCTACAATTTGCAGATACCTTACCAAAATCCACAGAGAATTCAACTATAGACATCCTTCTTGGGAATGACTATTATCTTGATTTGGTATCATCAGAAAAAATTGAAGTTGACCATGGACTTTACTTGCTCTCATCAAAAGTAGGATGGATTCTCACTGGACGAACACAAGCTAATTTTGAGGTATACAGAGATAATTTACACCAAATGCTGATTGTAAATCGAAACAATCTAACAACAGAATATTGTCTTCTTTCCTCTGTCGATGAATGTTTGCCCTTAAAGCCATCACTAGACGAGTATTGGAACTTGGAAACCATTGGAATCAAGGATCAGCCCCACTCATCAGATGATGACATGGCTTTAAAAAACTTTATCAATACAATAAAACTAGTCAATGGTAGATATCAAGTCACTTGGCCCTGGAAGGATGAACAACCTGAACTCCCAGAGAACAGAGAACTTGCTTTTGGAAGGTTGAAATCCTTTCTTCAAAAACTAAAAAGGAACCTTGAGCTGCTTCACCATTATGATGAAATTATTCAGCACCAGTGCAAGCAAGGCATCATTTAAAAAGTGACAAAGGAACTAAATTAATGCTTGGCTTTCCTTGGTCTTGGGGGTGTTGCGAACTGTCGCAATTTTAATTTATTTTTCTAGAAAGTCAATGATGTACATATATAATCTAGAATGTTCTATATGTTTCCTGAATGAATTCTCAAGAAGTCTCTAGAATATGTCAGAATGTGATGACCTAGAATTTTATAGAAGTATCTATTTCCAGATTTTCTTCAATACTATATATATGAGAGTTTTTGTGATCTTAATTATTATTGAGTTGATTGAGTTTACATTGAGTTTAGATCGAAGAAATATTGATTACATAACAGAAACCATCTGATCATCTTAGCCAATGTGGTATTGTGATTGTTAACCCTTGTGGATTTGTTTTGCCTTTAATCGTCGTAATAAATTATAAAAAGAAGATTTCCGTGTGATTGTGATTTGCCACAGTGGAATGGATAAAATATTAAAGCCTGTAGATTGATTGAATGTTTTTCGAGAATTTTTAAAAAACATAGAGACAACATTACAGGTGAAGGGATTCAAATTTAGACCTTTACTCGGCACTCAGGGTCATTGAGCAGTGAGGGTTCTTTATCGTGATAACACTGGGTCTCGGCTTTTCAGTTCTCATCCGAAGGACACGTGACTTTCACGTCTAATATCGGGCACTTGGCGAAAGAATAGTCGCTAAGTATATTTCTATTTTAGGTTTGAAGCGGTTGGTGAACGAGAATCGAACCAAGGCCTCCCGATCACAAAGGAAACTCCCTCCAACTAGGCTTTTATGAACGATGACCGTTCAATTTGAAGAAATCAATTTATTGCAATGTACACTCAAAGTTCTTTTTATATATATACAAATGTTTGATCTCTGAAAGGTTAGATTGAAGTACTCAATTATTTGTAAAATAACGAAGTTTACGTTGCAATTATAGAAGTAAACTTAAACCTTGCTTCTTCTAAATAGCAATTTAATAATAAAACCTAAATAATAAACGTACAAAAACAAAATTTACCAGTATTATTTAGATTTCGAGGCGTATCTACAGAAATAAGTGGATTTTTACGCAAGATGCAAATGAAACGACTAACAACCCCCCCCCCCCAAAAAAAAAAAAAAAAAAACGAAACAAAAAACAAACAAACATGGAATGAATTTCAGTTATAAGCAAGTTTAACGATTTTAATATGTTTAGAAAAATAGCTATAATCATACTGTACGTGTACATAATTTGGCGTACCGGTATATAAAATTTAGCGGAATCACTGGATATGGATATGTTGGTGTGATAAAAAATTAGCGCTACACATGTTCCTTCATAATAGTGTATAAGAAATGATGCCTTAGCCGTATTCATGAATCAGCGCATTGTTGTCTGCACCAAATCCGCTGAAGTATGAAGCCCGCTTTTTAAAGTACAAATACAGAATATTAGTGATATTTAATTTTAGCAATATCAAAACCCTCGCAAATAATGCCAAAATTCAATCCTTGCTAAAAAGTCTGCTTATATGAATATTAGGCTGAACTTACCAATGCGATTATTAGATTGATCCAAGCAACTATTGAGTTATTGTTGTTATTAATGAGAGGATACGTACTTTTGTAATAACTTTATATTCATTGTATAATTACAATTACAAAGATTCCAAGTTCTTTTTTACATTGATGTCAACATATAATATTGAGCTAGCGAAGATTATTTGAGAAACTTAATTGCAATAGAGCCACAAAATACGTAAGTACAACGATAACTCTCACCTGCAGTTCCCGTGTACCCGGATACTGTGAGTCGGTATTTCTCTGTCTCGTTTCCGATAAAAAACGTGGAATATCCAGCATACGCTGTGGTCCCATTAAATCTCTGGAGATCTACTCGTAGTTCCTGGTCCTGGCTTTTGGTCAAAGCATAGATTACATCATTCCCTTTATCAATAATTATGAAAAAAAACTAGTTTGATAAATGATGAATGAGCTATTTGAATCATTCTCATGATCTCTCTTGTCGTGTAGAATAAAAGGATGATTCTTCAAAACGGTTAATGAAAACTTTTCTTTAAAAATTGAAAGGATCAAATAAAGATAGATAAAAAAGAGCAGAGGAAACATGGACCTCCAAAACATGGGAGGTAGGATCAGGTACCATGGAGGAGTGAGCATCCCCTGCTGACCGGTAACACCCGCCTTGTGCTTTTTGTCATGATCGGGAAATAACGACAAAATCCGTAGTCAATTCAATGTATAAATAATGGACTAACACTTAGTGTGAAAAACGTTAGTCAGCATAAGATTTCAGTGATAAAAGTAAACACAAAATATGTTACCAAAAGTAATAAACCACAAAATGTACAGACTTACCTATCCAGAAGTTTTTAGAGGCATTTCCAAATCCCTGTTTGTACTCACACCATGTTTTGTAAAAACTGAGGTTCCCATCTTCTCGTTTCTGAATTACCTGTGCATTAAAATTCAATGATGTAATTAAATCTTCTTGTCAGATGTGGGAGAAAATTGTATAGATTTACATGAAATCAAAGGGATCATACCTGATCGATTCCGTCATGTCGTCATGTCACAGTTGAGCTCTTTCAGGTATTGTCGATTTTTTTAAGGAATGAATTTCATAGCTACGCTTTGCATACTGTATAAAGTCACCCCTACTAATGTTATTATACCCCCCCCCACCCCCGCTTGAAAAGTGGGAGGGTATATAGTAATCGGTATTTCCGTCCGTCCGTCCGTCTGTCCGTCCGTCTGTCCGTCCGTCCGTCTGTTACGCTTTGGGGTACCCATCTCTTATCCGCAACTCCTCTCAAACCACTGAAGGAAATTTGATGAAACTTTCACAGAATCTTTATTACATATTGCCATTGTGCACCTCCTATTTTACTTCTTGATCTGACATATATTTTGGATTTTCCAAAGGAAAACATGGATACTGCCATTATATTCATATGGGAGGCGGGGGGTATTATTAAGTGAGCTCATTGCTCACAGTACCTCTAGTTGTGATTTAAATTCAAGCCAAGTGGTTTAGGTTGACCCATTGAAAGGTTACAGGGTAGAACCGGTTTTATAAATAAAATTGGCATTTAAACAGGAAAATGCTATAGTCTGTTTCTTTTGGAGACATGTCCTGTAAAAATGTGTTTCCAGACCTTTTTGAAGGACTTTCTTGTTTCGGTAGATAAAGGAGGGGGGTCAAAACGATATATTGTACCTTTGCTTTTGTGATAATTTACGGCAAAAATTGGAGCTCCGTACAATTTCCCCACAAGAGCCCGATACCATGGTAGAAAAAAATGTGTCTACAATACTGTTTACACTGACAAACCTTTGTATGCATTATATGGCTATTGTTATCAATGTGCACGGCAGATCTTACCACGCACCAGCTGACCAATCGTTGAATGAAAAGCTACGTTTACGCTAACTAAGCATGTTTTTATTATACCCCCCGCTTAAAAAGCGGGAGGGTATATAGTAATCGTTAATTCCGTCCGTCCTTCCGTCCGTCCGTCCTTCCGTCCGTCTGTTACGCTTAGGGTTACCAATCTCTTATCCGCAACCCCTCTCATACCACTGAATGAAATTTGATGAAACTTTCACAGAATCTTTATTACATATTGCCATTGTGCACCTCCTATTTTACTTTTTGATCCGACACATATTTCGGGTTTTCCGGCCACAGCAAAACATGGACTTTGCCATTATAACTATGTGGAGGCGGGGGTATCATTTAGTCAGCTCATCGCTCACAGTACCTCTAGTTTTACGTTGAACACGTGGTTCATGTGAATCTATGATCGATGGGTCGCAAAAATGTTCATATGAAAAAATACAAAGCTTAGAAACTATGAAAGATGTCATCCGTGTTTTTAATTTTTTGTTAACTCTAAATATGTACAATGAAATGTAGTTTGTGTCAAGTTCAGAACACTAGAGCGTCAATGGTAAGGAAACCGTGCAGCATCTCCTTGGCATTTAAATGGACAATATCCGTGATCACACGTTTTTTGGCCGGAGAATCCACCTGACAATTGTATTCACCGATAGGACAACAAAGGAATTAATACAGACGCCTTTTAGTATGGCATAGAAAAATCAAACTTTACGTTTATTCAGTAAATGAATTGCTTGTCGTTGTTAGCATGAAAAAAATAGGACAAAAAGAAACAATTGAAATTGCTTTACGAAATGGACGGAAATATGTTCTTTGTGCCTTTCCCATAGCCATTATACCACGGTACTTTTTTTCAGGGGTAAAATTCCCGTAGTACCCGTCGTAACCCATGATGCAATTCTCATTCATCTGATTTGTCAGTTAAAGCCACTCATTATGTTTGTGCCTCAATTGCTGACGCCAAAAAATATAGTCCCGGTTCCAAATACATGTATAATTGTCTAAAGAGAAATTTTAATGCATGAATGCAGAACAACAATATCATAGAGAATATATAAACTTATTAAAGAATATCAAAGAGAATAGATATACTTATTAAAATTGAATGAATTCAAGTGAAATTGCAGTGCATTTCTACACATATTTTGGGTGGTAAAAATTTAAACACAACATAACTTCTCCGTTTACCAAGTCTCCACGTCTTAGTCACTTCCTAGCGACATTTCCGTGAATAATTTACCTTATCTAGCTGTAATCTCGCTGACTCTCGTCAGAGTTACTGCCAAAGCTACTTTGAACTCCTCGGGTTTTATAATTTGCAGTACACCGAAAAAAAAAGTTCCGAACACATTAGTACGGGTGAAAGTGGGTAAACCGTATATTAGCCATATTTTCCTTATAATTTAATTTTCATTCATTTGGTGTTCAAAGATGATTGTCCATAAAAATGACTTCAATTTGTACAAAAATTGTCTGTAACGTCGAGCAGTTTGATACGTTTTTGATGCAAGTCATTGTGACGTAGGCAACCCATTTTATACGATATAAAGTAAATTTCTTATCCAATCAAATACATCATAACAAACAAAAAATAAATTGACAATAAAACACACTACTCACCGTCCACCTCCTCCATCTGTTTTCATGCCACAATAGACCTCTCTATAGGGGTTGTCGATTTACAACTTTGAGGATAACATACACTTATCCACTGGTTGTGAGTGAGATAGCTCTTTTATCAAACCCTCGGTGAATAGTTCCCTGTCTCGGGTTTGATAAAAGAGCTATCCCAGTGGATAAGCGTTTTATTATACTGATATTTAATACAATTTTTGAGGTTTGATTTTTTTTGGAGTGAGATAATACTGCAAATATAATCTGAAATCCTAATGACGTCACAATGCTACTGAAGTCAATATGACATCATCAGTCAATAGATTCATAACTGGAAATCAAAATTGGCGGCAAATATTGCATGAAAATTTTCTGCATAGGGTGGATAGCAAAAACTATACCCCGGGGTCTATCTTTGCCAGACTATCAAAGTTATTTTACCTTCTGAGCTTTATATAGGAAGCTATATATATCTAACAGAAGTATAATAACAAAAACTATACCCGGGTTATAGCTTTCTATGCATCGAAATTTTCTGACAGTGAAAAATAGCTATTTCATCTTCTTATATTTATATAGGAAACATTTAAACAGAATAATATACAGTTATGGAATGGGTATAAGGGAAATAGCAAATTTATGGTTCCCCAAGGGAGGAAACTATTTCCGGAGGCGGCGAAGCCGCCGAGGGAAAATAGTTTCCTGCCGAGGGGAACCATAAATTTGCTATTTCCCTAATACCCATTCCATAACTGTTTTTTTTTATACCGAAACAATAATAGGCGATTTAATTTGTTTTTACCAGATATTCCGACATTTAAAAAAAAAAAACACAGTAGAGGCATAATTACAAATGCATGCGGTTTAACTCATTGTATGAAAAGTAATGCATCGTGTCCTAAAACTGTTAAAGAACAAAGTACGGTATTAGCAGTAATTCGCCGAAAATAATACGATATTTTAATCTTCTTTGTACATTTTTTTGATGTTATGCTTTGAAGTAAGGAAGATGCGAACTAAATTCTACAGGCACAAAAATGACGTAATTTTTAACTATGACGTCACTAATGTGCGCTAAACATGGAATGGTCGTGTAAAATTGTTAAATTATATTGAAAAAAGAGTAATCTTTGCTGAAATTAGACCCTTTCACATACAACAACCACTTCTATACTCCGAATATAAGTTCATCATTACATATCGCAGATGCACTATTAAAATAGTGTCGGTTGTCACCTGTGATCAATATGAATTTTGCAAAGGTTAACTTACGGAAAAAAGATATTTTACCGACACAGTTTCCTGATATCGATATTAATGACGCATAATTGAAACAGAATGAGATTTTCTGATTTTAAGTACCATCACTGGATATCGTAAACTATTAAGGATGACGTTTACTCAGGTTTCAGAAATCAGACAGGAAATTTTATAAAGTATAATATATTGAATCAAAGATTGTTCTAAATGGATGAAATAACTAAGTTTTATCTCAATATCAATTCAAAAAATTTAATATGTAAATACTTAAAGAAAATATACAGGAACAAAACTCAATGTATTGCTATGCAGAGGAAATTCGGATTAAATTTGTAATTTTTCATTTTTTGCAAAATTTTTATTTCTTGCAATATTAATCACAAAGTAAAGGTTACATGTATTTTAAGACACCATTTTTCAAATTTCATTTGTGTTTAAGCTCATAAATTATTTCAAATAAAAGAATGCTATGAAATAAAGTAATTCAAAAACATGTACAAAAACCACTGTAGTCAACATATTTCAATAATTTGATCATTGACCCAATATAATATTAATACCATGAGAATGAGAGTAACAAAAGTAGCCAGAGACTATAAATAATTGAGTTCTTATCAGTCAGATTTTTGCAATATTTGATTAAAAATAGGGAAAGAACATAAATATGACAGAGGAAATTCGGACTGTAATAATTATCACGTTTATGGCCCAAACTCTACTCATTTCTTTATATGGAGCATCCCTGTTCCATTGCTATAATATTTCATTATTTAAAGAGTTTTGTTGCTTGTAATATTTTGTTAGTGAAGAAAAAAATGGTCATAGTGTGAAAAATTGAGGTATTTCCCAATAAATATATTTAGGGGCCCCTAGCATGAAAACGAGGTCATTGACTTAGTTATTTGTTCGGTCGTTGCGTGTAGTCCTCACGGAATACTTGTATCCACCATGAAGAAGATAGAATCCTCCTCTGCCGTTCTCGAGAAAGTTGACTTGCACCTGAAGATTGGCCATTTTCTTCTTCTTCCTTCTTTCTTTCTTATTTTTTTTGATAGTGATATTTTTTAATGGAGGGCCCATAAAACAATTAAGATCTCAAAATTTGCAAGCTTTTGATTCTGTACATTATTGATAATAATTATGCTGATCTAGTTTAGAAGATTCTTTAAAAAAACATTCAATTATAATCATTTATAAAATAATTATATACTTAACTTGTGTATCAGTAATGTTATGTACAAACACTTTTACTAGTATAAACACAACCATTTTTAATGATTATACATAATTATTTCTTCAAAGTCTCATAATTGTTTTTATTTATTTTTTATTAAAAATATTTTGTGTGGTCCAAAAAAAATTTTGTTTCAAATTTTTTTTTTTACTTAAATGATAATAATATTCTATTTATAAATTTAAATTAATTACTTTTTTGAATTTATTCTCTGGTTAAATTTTGCTACTTGTTACAGTAAAAAATTATTGAACTTAATTTTTTTTGGTTTAATTTTATATTTATTTTGACTCAAATTTTAACTCTGGTTGGTATATTTTTACACTGATTTTATGTCCCAAAGGCAATAATTCTCAGGTAATTAATATCTATGCATACCAGAAAACAGACTATAGCCTGTTAATCACTCAGGTGTAGAAATCAAAATGTTGGCTATGTGGGAATGGGATTTTTCAAAATGTTGGCTAAGTGGGAATAAACCTCAGAAACCCTTGGCTAGCGAAGATGTCTCAGAAAGGGATATACCTATTAATGGCTGGTGGGGGGGGGGGGAGGGGGTCACGGGCCATACAATTTATGAAAGGCCTGTGCTTCCCGGGAAGGGGATTGCAGATAGTTGGGGTTTTTTTTGGCTCACTACATATTACATTAATTCCTTAAAATTAAGAAAAGGTATGTTTGGGGTTAGGGACTACTAAATTTTCTAAAGCATTTTTTTTTCAGTTGTGCCCATCCCCCTACTAAATTGACTTTAATTCTCATGGACCAATACATATATTACATGTTTAGTATATTCTTTAAATACAGGAAATACTCGTCTGTATTGTATTGTACATTAGCCGTCCAGATTCTTTTCGTTTAACTGTGAGAATCATACATACAACACGTTCAATTGTCAGAAAAATGAAGATACAAGGAAGCTGGGATCTATTTTTTTTTAATGCTGCATTCTTTACCAAGCGAGGGATTTTTGCGAAAATAAAAACAACAAAAAAGTGTCACCAGCAACTTAAACATTTTAAACCTAATAAAATATGCGAACACTGTACTAAATACATATATTTGGAATAAATATGTCATCGGCTGCTAGAAAGTGGGGATCTCAAAAGAAAATCCATGAGCGATTATACATGTACTTATCCGACAAAATTGTCAAAAAGTATTGAATATGTAAACTTAAGAGGGTTGTCCCAGAAAACGCGACCATTTTCAATATCTTTAGTTTTACTTTGACTATAAATTAAAAAAAAATTGACATAAATCATTATCAAGAAGTCAGCTAAATAATAATAAATCAATAATAGTTTCCTAACAGGTTTTATAAATTTTTAGAATACCTGCTGTTATGATATTCAGTCTAAACCGAAAGTTCGATTTACATGTATACCCCCCTCACCCCCCTATCCAAACCCCCTTTAAACAAAATTTCACAACAGTTACTGATAATTCATTTTCAGTCTTATTAAATATGATTTTACAGTCCTATTAAAACCAAAATATATTGTAAGGCATTTATGAATTATATGAACTCATTCAACTCATAATGGAGGGAAAGGGGGGGGGGGCATTTAAATTTCCAGTGTTCCTCTGTCACCATGCAAGCCGGGACACTCGAATTTTTCCATCAGTACATAATTTTCACTAGATTTTTCTCAATTAATTTAACAAAAATAGCTGATATTATTTTTATTGAGACCTGCAATAAAAAGAAAGTAAATATCCACGAGAAAAGTATTATTGAATCAACAACTTAATTTCTTCAATATATATAATAAAAACTGTGTCCTAGCGAATAAGTTGAAATTTTCAGATTACACTTATTGTACACCTTAAATGTACGACGTCGCGTCAAAATTCTTCGTAAAATCTTGACGTTTTGCTATAAAAGGTACAGTATTGAGCGTTATTTTTGCAATGCATACATTTGAGACAGGTATATAAATTATATATCATCTAATTCTACAAATCCTAAGCTTTTAAAAATGTTTTGAACCGAGCAGGTCTGGCAAGCGGCATTTTTTGGCCAATACCGTACTTTGTTCTTATTTTTTAAAGTATTTTCACTGACGTTTCGAAGAATTATCGTTGTCTTCATTTTGCTAGAATTCAAGTATGGTTTTGACATCGCATGTCGAAATGTTTTGACGTCATAGTTACATTGATAATAACATGACGTCACAGACTCGAGATTCCATGAACGCTCTGCCCACTGAACACTTTGATTGGTTTAAATTGCTAATATATATTCATGAGGGAGTACTCCCAGGGAGTAGCTCTGATTTTCCAGGGAGTAGTCTTCAAATGAGTGCAATAGTCTCTTCTCGGGGAAATAGACAGTTTTATGGTATTAATTTTATATAGAGTAATTACAGTAGAGGTATAATAATAATAATAACTAGATACGATCTTGTTGCGAACAACGAGTGGGTCTTCTGTCCGATTCTTGATGAGATGAGATAAGATTTTGATTGAGATTTTCATTTTAAAATAATGATAAAGATTGTAAAGAATAACGATTTTGCCTCCATAATCTTTAAAACGACAATGGACATTAAAGACTTTAAAAATCGCCGTTTGCCCCTCACGGCCCCTGGTATTAGGGATCAGCCCTTTTTTCTTCATATCATCTTAAAGCTCTTAGGATTTTGATCACTTTTTGTTCAACAACTATTGAGAGATTCGTTTTCGTTTTCAAGTTACTTGCAAAAGAAATATTTAGGGGCCAACCCTTCAACTCCCTAATGGGGACGTTTAGCGAAAAATGAAAGGTTGCATATTGTTCAAAACATTATTTTGAACATGTTTTGTTCAATATTACTTATCAAAATATTTTTCACTTTTTTTTTGGGAGGGGGGGGGGGGTTGGGCTAAACCCACTCCCCAATGATCAATGCCTACATCATATCTTTGTGAAAAAAAATGGGGGGGGGGGGGGGGGGGGGGGCTATAGCCTTGTCAAAAAATACTCGTATTGATTATAAATTTCTACCTCCTTACTCGTGTTACTGTACCATAGTCATGATAGGTGCCACATGAGGGGTCTGTTGCGAACTATCAGCGTTGTCAAACACTGCTATTAATCAGGTCTGAGAGAATACTCGAAATCGGGTATTATCCGTGAAATCGCGTATAATACTCGATATTAGGGTATCGTTGAATCCGCGAAATCGGGTATTCCGTGCAACTTTCTATAAAAACTAAAGAATAAAGCAACGTCGCATTATGCCAGTAACTGTTACTTGTACATCAGTATCTTGTGGATTTATTTTTATTAAACCTAATTCATACGGTTGTCAAATAAGTTTAAAATCACACAACAAACACTGCTGGGGTAACAAAGAGGACACACTGGCGTTATTATTTTTCAATATAATTTCTAAAAACAAATAACTACACTTCGTTTGTCTTTATTTCCCATTAAGGTCAAGATCTAGCATATAACTTTTGACCAGTTTCTTGGTGCTAATTCATTATGACGTCATAATCAATCTCAAATTTCTTTTTCCCGTACTTTATGGCTTTAGCAGAATTATGTAAAAAATAGGGTATTTTCATGACATTTAATTTAAAATCATATGAAAAGTAAACCAGATGCATATATTAAATTTGATATTGATGTAAAGAAGAGACCATGAACATACTAGTTACCGTTTTCTGAGAGACTGTAGGCAATCTGGATACATTTCCTTTGTCGAATGTGAAAAAAAAACTCCCATATTCATGGCTGGTTTTCTTAATGCTTCATTCAAATGACAGTTTAAAATACAGTTTTTCATCTTGTCTACCTACAAATTATGCCCCGAAACACCTTATTTGACCAAGCTAAAGTTGTAAAGCATCAATAAAGGAATTTATTTCTCATTTGTTAAATTTGTAGGCACCTTTAATTTACTAGATCTTGACCTTTAAGTATTCCATATACTTAATTTTCTAATTTGTGCATTATTCACAAAACGTGAAATTTTAAAGAAATTAAACGACTAACGCCGTGTTATGTATTTTTACTGAAAAATGTATGGCGTCCCTTTCTCGTGAAATATAAATTACTCCTAACAGTTAAAGAGTACAGTATAAGCGAGTCATAATTGTATATCTCTGCCATTATACAATACCAACGTTATTATAAAGAAGAAAATAAAATAAGATGAAATAAATACCCACTGGAAAACAGTTTGAAAATAGCTAATTGAAGCTGAGTATCTTTTTTATGTCAATTTAGCATGAAATTTTTATTTCAAAGACACCGTAAATTTTTTGGTTGCATTTTAATCGATACAAAATATACTATTTTACCTTTATTTTATGCATTTGTGTGAAAATTGAGAGCGAGAAGTCATATGAACAGGATTTTTGTGTTTTTTTTTTTTTTGTTCGGGGGGGGGGGTATAAATAAAAGTCAAATGTGTACATCTTTTCATGAAGTTAATATACATTGAATTTCTAAATATAGATCGAGGTACAGTCATATTGATATATGAATTACATAGTCAAGTTTTCACATTTCTTATAGTTTTTACGTTTATGAACATGTTAATGAACAATCTGAAATAATGGAGTGTTCAATTGCCTTGGAAACTCTTGTCTTACTTTTTGGGAATAAAATTCCTCATCGGACATTAAAATTTCGTAAAAATCGTAGCCACTTCCTTCCTTTCTTGGTCGGAACCAGGGGGGGGGGGGGCGAGGGGGGCTTAGCCCCCCCCCCCCCCACTTTTTTTTCCCAATATATACTTAGTATAGACATTGAACCTTGTTACATAGGTTAAGCCCCCCCCCTCTT